GAGACCATGGTCCCCAGAGCCCTCCGTCCAGCAACTCAGTCCCTTGGGGAGTTTGGATGTGTCCATGACGACCACTCTTTTTATCCATCAAGAAGTAACTAACAGTCTGCAGTGCACAGAACCCTGAACAAGGCTTAATCAAGAGAGACAAAAGAAAGGGGAGGCTGGTTCTTGTCCTTAAGGTGCTTATAATATAGACAAAAAGACAAAGCATAAATCAATTTGGGAACAGTTCCAAGTCAACATGTTAGTAAGATTAAGATGTGGTGCCATAAATAGAATATGTCCTGAAGAGATACTAGGAGTTGTCAGTAATGGCGATGGGGGAAGGAGTATCCAGGATGAGCTGCCTGGAACTGGCCAGGTTTGCAAAGAGAAGGTGAAAAGGTGTTTACTATGTTAGACATTAATTATGTACTGATTATTCATTGAAATAAGACAGTATTTCACTTGTTAACATTTAACCCTACTAAACAATTAGCTTACAGGATCTCATTTCATCAACACAACAATCCTGTGAGGTAAACATTTTTCTTGTATATCTCAGATGAGAAGCAGGAGCTCAGTGAGCATAACTTGCCAAATAACACAAAGCTAGTAAATGGCAGTGCTGGGATTCAAAGCATTTCAGTTTAATGCCAAACATCAGAATTTAATTAACTTAAATTTTATGATTAATAATACATGGAATTTAAATCTAAAGCATTAAGAAAATCGTCTACAATGGCATATCCACGTTAGACATAGATTTGTAAATGTGATAGGTCCTAGGAAGTGCAAATAGAAGTTCCACTAAGAATGCGCTTTCTTCCTTAAATTGTACATTTAACCATATAATTTGAAAGCCTATAGGTGCAGATATCATATTGATGAGATGCCACTCTCCATGAACCTGAGAACAGTGGTTTGAAGTTCAAATGCTGAAAAATACAAGTAAAGTTTGATTAAGCTTCACTATGCAACATGTTTATTTTATTTAACATATTGCTTGCTCTGTGAAGGTACTGCTCTAAGTGCTTTAGAAATATTTACTCATTTGACCCAGACAGCTGAGGGTATTATTATTATTATTCCATTTTACAAACGATAAAACCAAGGTTAAAAAAAGTCATAGCTATTATGGGGCAGAGGCCGAGTTTCGACCTGGCAGCCCCAGAGGCCTTGCTGTTGACCACTGTTTGAGTCTGCTTCTCATTCTGGCTGTGCTTCATGGCACCTGTCAACAGAACAATTATGATCCCATGATGCCCTCAGTAATCCATCACGTGCACGGGCGGATTAGCCAACCGGCAAGGTACGCATGGTGCTTGCCTTGCTTACCAGACCATCTGTAGTGAACAGTTTCACGTTTTTTTCCCACATCAAAGATTCTGCTTCTTGGTATGGCTGGTATCTGCCTCTCTCCCAACTCCACAGCACCTTCCTACAGAGTCAAAGCCTCTTTTCAAATATACAATCCCTGGTAGGGGCGGATGACCCAGTAAACACGGTAAGCCCGGGCTTGCTCGTGCTTACTTACTAATCTGTAATGAACAGTATCACATGGGTTTCACTTTGATGTAGTGAACACCATGTGAAATTGTTCACTACAGATTAGTAAATAAGCCAAGTAAGCCCTGGTTTACCTTGCTTATTGAGTCATCCGCCCCTCATCGCATGTGACATTCTTGCTTTTTGTTAATTATGCTAGCAACAATGTAGAGTTTTTACTTGCATGGATAAAAAAATCCAAATCACCACAGCAACAAAGGAGATTTCTTAGGGAAATTTTAAGTGTTGAGAACACTCTTATTTTCCTTACACTGGCAGGTGACTCACCATGTAGATATGATCACGTTCAGAACCTCATTATCGGTTTAGCAATTACATTTTAAAAATTAACTCGGCACAGCTGAGGGTCAGAGATGGCGCGTATAACCCTTGTCGTCTCTCAGGACTGATGCACTGTTCATAAGCATTGCTCTCTGGGATATGTCAGCGACTAATCACACACATTTAAAAATCGCCTGGGAAACAAAACATGACAAATTTCTATTTAGCTGGTTTTCTTCAAAGTTAGTTTGTAGACAGAACTGGGCTTATGCTAAAGGGAGGCTGCAGCTGTTGCTCAGGGACCATTGGAGAGGCATTTCATTTGCGTACTTTCCAGTTAGACATGAATCTCAAATGACAGCGCTAAGATGTCGGATGGAAGGAGTGGCTTCCATTAGAATGAAATTTGAAAAATAACCCATTATTCAACACCTGGAGGTAGCTTGCAACAAGATGACATAGAATCTAATTTAGGAATCAATTCTAGGAAAAATGTAAAGAACCAGAAAATCAAGACCTCGGAGGAGAAAAACTGTTGCTGAACTGTGAGGACCAGTCAAGTTGCTATAATTGAGCCACAGTTTTGATTCTGAGTGTCTTAAAATCTAAAGGAAAAAGGGAGATGTTGCTCAGGTACATAATTTTCTGAGAAAGCATACCATTTTGTAAGGGACCCAAAGAGTGAAATGTTGCTCCCTTTCGACTGGAAAAAGAGGACAATTGTGTGGCTATAGCTGCTATCGGGAGCTAGTCAAAGATTGCTGTGTCTTTCTGCTTTAGGGAACCCCAAAGCAGAGGTTTACCTCACAGCTGTCTGGGAAGGCAGAGGCTGAAGGGATTGGAGGAGCGCGTAGGAAAGGAGCCCGGGCCCCACAGAGGCAGGCCAGCCTGATGTCCCACCTGTCTGCACCAGCCTAGGAGGTGGATGGATCCCACAGACGTTACAAAAAAATAATAAATGCAATCTAATAAATAGTCATGGATTAGAGAAAATGAGGATTATTTACTTTTTAATGCTTATGTTTAGTTGCTCCAATAGCGAGTTTTATTTTTGATAAAACAAAACGAGGGTTAGTGTGCTTTTTTCTATTTCGGGTACAATCTATAACTGAAACCATATGTCATCGTTCATAAGCACCAAAGACTGACCCC